AACAAAGAAGAGCAGACAAAATTAGCATTAATGTCACAGATCCAGAAATCTTTTATGAAATGAAAAACTGCAGCCAAACAAACCAAGAAATTTGATCATGCAGTGCCTGCAAACAGCTCCACCTTTTAATAGAATATTCATCCATTATGCAAATTATCAAAATGCAAAATTCAAGACATTTAAGAAAATCATGAATGTTTCAGGCATTTACAAGGTAGGGTTACAACTTAAAGCCTTTCAAGCATATGACACATTTTATAGAGAGTGTTTGGTTGAATGTAGGAGTCACCCTGTTGTGAAAGAAATGCTGAAAGTTGCACTAAGCTGCGGCCTTAAGACATTGGTAAAACCAACATGCATCACTGTTTTGATGAGAGTGAGTGAGTTTAGCTTTACACCGCTGTTAGCAATATTCCAGCAATATCATGGTAGGAAACACCAGAAATGGGTTTCACACATTGTACCCATGTGGGGAATCGAACCCGGGGTCTTTGGTGTGATGAGCAGACGCTTTAACCACTAGGCTACCCGACCACCCCTGTTATGACACACACACACACACAAGAAGTGCTGTATCTCAGATGATTCCATATTCAACTGATTTTGAACCAATTTTTACAAGAATCCACACGAACAGAATGATCAACAAAACAAGGTCTCCAAAGTGATCAAAACAGACACCTCATGGCTCTGTCCTGGCCCTTCTTATCCCCCCTCTTTCTTAACCCTGCATTTGCCTCGGTTCAATTCAACACCACCAAAACATAAAATCATTTGACCAAATAATGGTGATTTTAGAAAAACATTGAAAGTAGCAGCGTTCCCATTTCCCTAATGACAGTCGAATTATTTGTCGTGCAAACTTCTACATCAGACATAGTGACCAGCTTGTGTCAGTGGTTGACCAGACACTATGCTTTCCAGTTCAAGGACTCTCGAAACCGTCCCGAATGCTTGCCCTAATAGCAGAGACACGACCCATCCAAGTGGTGACATAAAGGTGGACTGGTGAAAGCTTTGTACTGCTTATCTCCACAGCAAACATTCCCTGGCTGCCACAAAGCAGCTGTAAGGCCTGTCGGTGGTTGACACTTCCCTCTTCTTTCCTGCATCCAAAACCTGACACTGTGGAACATCAGGGAACAGAGTGTTTTAGTTTTTGGATGGGGGACATATTCCTTTGAACAGGAACAGAAGAGAATATGCTGCACAGCTTGTACATTGTTCACTGGTTTCTGAGGCAACATTCCAACAATCTGACAGTAGGCCATTTCAGTTGACTACCCCGAACACTGACTGCTAACACAGAATCTCTATTGTGAATGAGTGCAGGTGTGGTGTGGTGTGGTGATGTGTAGGCAGTGTCGCGTGGTAAGTTAGAATCTCACATTCAGCAATGTTTCAGCAATGTTTCAGCAATATGATGACCGCATTATTTTCATTTCTGAAGACTCTTTCTGCAACACTAAAGCCCTATATGAAGCAGGTCTAGATTTCCTCAGGTTCTCAATCTCACTGGGGCCCCTTTTCAATATAAGAAGAAATTGTTTGTTTCTATCAAAATCATATATTTTCAGAGACTAAGTGTTTGACTTTTGAAAACCACGTCTAAACCAGGCGATCCGGTGCTTGACATCAAAGGCATCAATCTCACTCAAGTGAGATATGCTGACATGCATCAACCACGTTGGCGAATCAAACCACCTGATCCTGTTAGTTGCCTCTTGACAGTTATGAGTCTAATGACCACAGATTTATACTAGGAAACAATTACTTGCATCAACCAATTCAGCAAGTATGACCACCCAACCCAGTTACTTGCCTTCTAAGACAACAATGGTTTTATGAAGACCAATTCTAACATGATCTTCTTCAAAGGATCCATGAGGGAGTTACAGAAACTGTACAGATAGGTGTGTGCGTAACATTTCAGCATTTCTGTCAGTCCTACTGCTTCAGTGACATTTAAGTTCAAACTAAGATGCAACCCAGCAGGCCAAGGTGGTAATGTCAATGCAGCTTGGGTCCTGTGATCCCCAGGGAGCTGATAACATCACTTGTAATCACATTTACAGCCTATCCTCGTTGGTGCAAATAGGTACCATTACATGTGCTTATTTTACTTAATGGTTTTCGTTTTGTTTTACATATTTAAATAGAATCAGGGATGTTAACAGGAAAATCTATTTTCAGCTGAAAACTTAATATTGCGTCATCGAATGGGTTTTTTTTTCAGGGATTTAGACGATTCACACAATTGATCAATTTGCAATAATATCGGCAAAATCCGCGGATCAGTCGAAAATTGCCATAACTGCAGAATGAGTGAGTGGGTATGGTTTTTACGCTGCATTTAGCAATATTCCTGCAATATCACGGCAGACAACACCAGAAATGAGCTTCACACATCGTACCCAGATTTAGATAGAAGAATAATGAAAAGAGGGTAGATGTGACATTGACAGACAGGGCTTCGTTGAAGCACTGCCTTGTCAAACACACCAAGAAAATGTAGATTCCCCAAACACTGCAGCCATCTGCATTACCCAGAGTGTCTAAGGGCTGTACTCCTGATGGAGAGAAAACCCAGGCAAACTCCTAATCTGCTGGTGTCAAGAGATCAGGAGGTACCAAACCAAGGGCATCAAGAACAATGGGGAGCCTGACAACAGTGTACTTGGGATGCAATCGTGACATTTCAAGCTGAGGTGCTCATGTTTTCCTTGACTTTCCATAACCTTGTGAATCACATTACGGTCAACAGGGACACGAAATTCAATGACATAAATAATGTTATTGTTTTTTTAAAAAGGTCAAGGTCATGTGTGTTGACTGGCCTATGTCTGAAGCTGTATATGGGCCTCTTCCAAAGAATCGTGAAACTGTCATTTTTCAGACCATCCACATATTAGGGGGCGTAGGATGGATGGATTCCAAGTCAAAACTAAAAGCAACGCCATCTTGTCACTTATTTCTGTGCCAACACTGGGCATCTACTGACAAGCGTAAATTCATGACATAATCTTTACTTCATATTCGCATTTTGATTGTGGTTATTATCATTATGATGAACATTATTACAGATTAGTCGTCCAGCTGCAATGTCCATTGCAAACACTACATAGACTGTAGACAAGTTGTAAAAGGTAAAAGATCACCCACAACAGAAGATGCCCTTGTTTCTTTAAACACAATAGGCATCAAAAACTACTTCCAATGTTTCAACATCTCCACATCATCAAATAAATGATAAAGCAGACTCAGCACCTCTAAACTCCAACTTTCAAGCGAGCATGGAAACACTGTGGCCCGACCTTGGTCGGCTGACAACTTAAAGTTGATGCAAAGCTCCTTACAGCTCCTCACTGTTGGCCCAGTTGGGGAGTTAATGCCGACATGTGGCTCCCTCTAGTGGAGCTATGCCAGAGCCACTAGCAGCCATTTAGCCGAACTTGCCAGGAATTCAACCCAAACAGAGGGTTGTCCAACATGTTTACTTCATCAGGAGTGCAGTCTCTCGGTTTGCCTGTCCTGCTGACAATGTGGATGCGATTACCCTCCCAACCTGTTTACAGTTTCAGTGTCAAACTGTGTTTTCCTAACCTACTCACAGAAATTCTGTTGTCCATGCATTTTCACATTTTAATTCCCAGGACTGCAGCAGAGAATGTTGTATCTTAAGAATTTGTGCCTCACTCTATGACAGTCACAACAAGTGTACATATCTGTACATATCTGTACATATAAGTAAACAGTACATACACTTGGAAACAACAAGGTAAACATCAAATTTGACTCCAGCATTCGCGCAGCAGAAGAATCTTGGCTCAAATACAGAACTGAAGTCCATGTATAGTAATTCTATCGGTGTTGTTTGTTGTTCAAATCCCCATTCAACAATATTTCAGATATAGCAATACCGGATGTAAACAATTCAGTCTGGACCAGACAATCCAGTGATCCACAGCATGAGCATCGATCTATACAATTGGGATACAATGACATGTGTCAACCAATTCAGCAAACCTGACCACCCGATTCTAAACCAGATCTTCATGGGTCCTTATTATATTATAAGCAAGTCAAGATAAACAGACAGTACAAGAGGGGCACCTGCCTTTTTAACTTGTTCTTACTATTTATTTAAACTGGAAAGTATTCTTTAAACTAGAAACCATTGCCTCAGAGACCTTAGCAAATCTACAGCAGTTATGGCTATGTGAGTAAGTGAATATGACTTCATGACATTTTATCAATATTCCAATGGATGCCAGAAATTGACTTCACACATTGTACCCATGAGGGGACTTGAACCACGGCTTTTACCACACCGCAAACCAGGTTTTCCACACCGCCACCCCTTAGGGCAAAGCTTAGGTTAGGTGAGGTGAAATTGGGTTTTACGTCGTGCTTGAGAATATTTCGCTCATATGACGACGTGCATGCATGTGTGAGTGTATGTGCGGCTGCTTGTACTAGGCCAGACTGAAGCTGGTTTTATAGTGCTAGCCCACTAAGATACTATACCGCAGTGAAGCATGAATACCCCACTCAGACACATTATACTGACTCCGACCTGATCAGTCCTTGTTGTTCCCATTAATGCCGAGCGCTAGGCAGGTACCAACAAGTACCATATTTTAACGTCTTTAAGTATGACGCGGTCGGGGATCGAACCCACGACCTTCCGCTCTCCGGACGGACACTCTAACCACTACACTACGGAGACGGTTGCAATGCTTGGGGGAAACATTGGTATTCCAATATATCATGGTGAAGGTACCAGTATTGCAGTGAGTAGTGTCATGTCCCCCCACAGCAGACTCAACTTCCACCCACTCAACATCCACAGCCCAATGTTTTGCAATGATTCCTCTCTTGCCATCTTGAAACACACATGTTCAGAAAATCTCAAACAAATGGCTGATTTCTCACAGACAATTTCCCCTGGGTTGCCCATCAACTTCTACATCAACAACATGTACACCATCAGCACCTACCTCACATTCATCTCTGGACTTCAACACATCGATCTCCTTAAGCAACCTCTCTTTCTCTTCTTCTTGGTCATGAAGACGACATTCGCACTCAATTCGTATCCGTTCCAGTTCTTTCTGCAGGTTGCGTCTCTTCTCAACTCCATCCCGCATACGTCCCTTGACTGCCGCCACCTCCTGCCGACACAATATCAACCTGGCTTCAGATAACTTTTCATAAACTGGTTTCTGGTGTTTGCAAACAACATATGATAGAGCCTCATTATGACTCGAGTGAGAGAGTGAGAAATGGGCTTCACAAATTAACCCTAGCAAATGGGTGAGTAAGTGAGTTTAGTTTTACGCCGCTTTTAGCAATATTCCAGCAATATCACGCCAGGGGACACCAGAAATGGGCTTCACACATTGTACCCATGTGGGGAATCAAAGCAAGGTCCTCGGCGTGATCCACAACACTAAGATGAATGTATATCAACCTCCATGTTGTAACATCTTGACTTGACATGAATGACAGAAGGTAACACTGACCTGTTGGAGAGAGTTTTTGGCTATTGTTAATGTGTTGAGGAGCTCCTCTTGTCTTGTGCGCAGCTTGGAAAACTCATGCATGAAGGTATCTTTAGCTTCTTTAGTGTTGGGTATTTTCCCATCAAGGGCCCTCCGGATCATCACCATTTCTGCCTCCAGTGAAGTCTCGGCTCGCACACCGTCAACTGTGTGAGCCTCTTCTCCTGCACAACAGATCAAGATGGTCAGTTTTTCAGTTCAGTCTATTTCCCCCAAAACACCAGTGGTTGTACAGGAGTAAAATATGCAACGCAGGTTGCTTTTATTACAGATCAACATGACAACATACTCAAATAACTTATGTCCATTAATGCTAATATGAAACCAATGTCATGATGTGACCCATGTTATGATGTGATGTGACCCATGTTATGATGCATCCAAGGTCAATGTTATGATGTGACCCATGTTATGATGCCACCCATGCTATGATGCAACCCATGTCATGATGTGACCCATGCTATGATGTGATGTGACCCATGCTATGATGCGACCCATGTCATGATGTGACCCATGCTATGATGTGACCCATGTTATGATGTGATGTGACTCATGCTATGATGCGACCCATGTTATGATGCTATGATGTGACCCATGCTATGATGCAACCAATGTCTATGATGTGATGCCATGATGTGATGCTATGTGATGTGACCCATGCTATCATGTGACCCATGTTATGATGCGACCCATGTTATGATGTGACCCATGCTATGATGTGATGTGACCCATGCTATCATGTGACCCATGTTATGATGCAACCAATGTCATGATGTGACCCATGCTATGATGTGATGTGACCCATGCTATCATGTGACCCATGTTATGATGCGACCCATGTCATGATGTGACCCATGCTATGATGTGACCCATGCTATGATGTGATGTGACCCATGTTATGATGCAACCAAGGTCAATGTTATGATGTGACCCCTGCCATGATGTGACCCATGTTATGATGCGACCCATGTTATTAAAGTGTTAATCTCTTCCTCCACAATATTCAATTCTAAAGTTAGGCATATTTCAGCATTCCCTATTGCTAAAGTGCTCATTTATTTCAGACATAAGTAATTAATTTCAGAAGATTCTTCATGGTAAAGAGGTGATCATTAAAAAAAAGGATGTCAAGGAAGTTTATTAAGTAAAGGCGGGTAACTCTTAATGAACTCACCATCAGATGGGGAAGACTGTCCTATGGAGGAATCATCTGTGTCGGTGGGGAGGTCGTACTCTCGATACTCCTTGCTGCTTCGTGGGGGAGATAACTGGGTGGAGTCCGTAATTTCGATTATTTTCGGGGTCGGAGAGACTTCCCCATTTTCTGATTTTCCTTTCTCTTGTGGTGGTGGAGCCAGAGCAACATTTGGTGTGAAGTGTCGCTCATACCTGATGAATTCAAACAGAACAGCATCGTCAAAAGGCCATTTTGAATAACAATAGCTGTGCACAATGAAGTCAGTGTTGTGAGTGAGTTTGGTTTTATGCCGCACTAAGCAAATATATCCCAGCTATAGGTGGCAATACAGTGATCAACAGCATGAGCATCAATCTACGCAAATGGGATACAATGACATGTGTCAACCAAGTCAGCGAGCCTGACCACCTGATCCCACTAGTTGCCTCTTACGACAAGCATTATTTACTGAAGATCAGTTCTAACCCCGGATATTCACGGGTTGTCAGTGGGTAGGTGAGTTAAGGTTGAATGCCACTTTAAACAAGTATCTCATTAACACCATGGCAGGTTAGATTAATTTGGGAGAAATCAGAAGTTTACCAAAAACCCCAAAACTATGGCACTGACAAACCTGATTTCTGACGACTGAACTACCTAGCTTCTGATGACCATTCCACAGTGCTCAATATAACGCTAAATTAAACCATAACAGTATTAGTTTAGAGAATTACAACCACTTACGCGAAAATCTTTTCACAGTTATAGAGCCCTCTTGAAGGCAACGCAGCCTAGAAGGCTCATTACCAGAAGGTTGCTACCATAAAACTTTGGCCTAGCAGATTTCAGGATCCATTTAATCTGCACGCTTCGGACTGACATTAAGCCCAAAATGTGCAAGTGACACACACAAAATTAAGGATGCTCACCTCTCAGACTCGGAGTATGGCACCACTCTCTCTGGGTGCAGCAGCACTGGAGGACCAGTGTGTAGATAGGAAGGTAGGATCCCAGGCAACCTGCAGTAGAAGTGTCGGTCTAAAATGTAGCCCTATAGTGAGCGAGTGAGTGTGGATGGTTCAACGCCCCTTTGGCGAATATTCCAACAATATCACATCAGGGGACAACAAAAATGGGCTCATGCATTTTACCCATGTTGGAAATCGAAACCTGGTCTTCGGCTGATGAGCAAACGCTTTAACCATGAGGCTACTAGACTAATGCTTAGTCTCCAAATATATAATTTTGATTGTAACAAAGAAACCCATTTAAATTGAAAAGGAGCCCAGAGATACTTGATTCATTTAGGGCTTTAGCACTGGAGGGTGGGCAAGGCTGCAGGGAAATAAATATGGTTCAGGGACTGCCCCTGAAGCCATTTACCCCAGGTGCTTCAACAACCTCTACTTCTTGATAGAAACTGTTCCATACACAAGTTAATGTGTATGAGAACATTAATGTTGATGCTCATATCGTTGACCACTAGTTCACCTATTCCAAAGACCAACTAACTTTGCAGCTGACACAAAATACAGGTGCCAGCAAATAGATTTAAAATACAGTTGCACAAACTTGGGATTTTTTTGCAAAGGTAAACTGAACTCAAAGAAGAACTCCCACCAACTCCGACATCATCTCCAACTCACCCTTCTCTCATAATGGCTGGTGGTGTGGGTAGGAGCTTGCCCTCCTTGATGGCGTTGAGCACTGTTGGGGACCAGGGTTGGAACGCCGACATCCCCCGCATGCTGGCTGGGTGCTCTGGCAGGGCTGGGATACTGCCTGGGGGCGACACTGACCCCTCCCCCCTTGTGTCTCTTGCCCTCACACCCATCTCGATCCGGACTCTGCGAAATCAACAAACAGTAACATGTCAAATTGTTCAGCTACCAACTAATCTAACCTAATAACAATGAGTGAGTGAGTTTAGTTTTACGCCGCTTTTAGCAATATTCCAGCAATATCATGGCGAGGGACACCAGAAATGGGCTTCACGCATTGTACCCTGGTGGGGAACTGAACCTGGGACTTCAGCGTGAAGAGCAAATGCTTGAACCACTTGGCTACCCCACCACCCCTAATGACGATGATGATGATGATGATGATGTGATATGGAGGTTATATATATGCCAATACAGCGCCAGCATTCCCCACAGTAAAATATGCTTCAAAAGAAACATCACAAACGGACGCTGAAGATCAAAGACAACTACCAGCTTGTTATTCATCAGTTTAGTCACCTAGGTCAATTACATCATGATGTATCACGCCACCCTTAATCACAAGCTACAATAATGAATGTTCAAAGAAAATGCAAAACATGCATTAAACCGATGATTACAATAAACTCATCAGAAATTACATTATTTTTATTAATGTTGAAATTGTGAAGAATCTTAATTTTCACATGCCCAATATTTAGACACCAATCATATGTCATTATCAACCAGCAACGTCATAAACGACACCCTATTCTACTCAAAATCCAACAAAATCAATCTTGTCTCAATAAACTTATAACAAGTGTTAACCCAAACACTGCATTCTTTAATGATCATTTAGTATATAAAGAGCATTGCTAAATAAACATTTTCTTTAAAAATCAACACACTGTTGCATGAGCAGAAAAACCTGTACACTCCCAAAAATGCTTCCAGGCACGTAACCAGCTAATTAACCTACTTATGCATTTAATTACTGTAGTTAGCAGACTATTTAGATGATACTGCAGTGATAAGGCAATCAACCTTCACAAATGAACACATTGACGAGATAAGTAGACCATAACAAGCCTTAACTACATCAAGGCAGGACAAGACAATGTCGCTGGAACCCATTTTCCACAGGTTCAAGTGTTTGCTGATGGGGTATCTTTGACCGGTGCTGTTTGATTAGAAATGTTATCACCAATTCCTTCAGCGTAGACTTTCAGCATTGAGAAACATGGAAATATTCATTAATATTTAAAATTTTGCTCTTTACTGCAGCCTTCAGGAAAAGTCAAACTGTTCGAGAAAAGATAACAAAATGCACTTGTCTGTGTCACACTATCAGATGACTGATATTATGAACCAGGTTACAGTGAACCACATTCAGGAAGGTGCTGGGTTGGACCATCTTGATCCACTTAGTCGCTTAATACAAGTTCATTATTCTCATCTCCGGGGCTGTGGGATAGCCTAGTGGTTAAAGCGTTTGCTCGTCACACTGAAGATCCGGGTTCGATTACCCACATGGGTAGATTGTGTGAAGTCCATTTCTGGTGTCCAAGCTGTGATATTGCTGGAATATTGCTAAAAGCGGCGCAAAACCAAACTCACTCACTCACTATTTTTATCCAGAATCCTCATGGGGTTATTGCCAAAAGTGTCTCCACATATTTGATGACCAAGAAACTAAAGCTGCTTCTCTAAACTACAATTACAAATTACTTAAGGAATAGCTTAACCCCAGCAAATGGCTTAATGACATTAGATTAACAGTCAACAACTTTAAAAATCGCCAGTCACCACAGAACACAAAAAATCCCATGAAATGAAAAATAGTGACATAAAAACCGAACACACGCAAACTTTATGCAAATTCTAGATGGTTCATAATTCACATATTTATTGAAAATCACAACAGGATTGAACTCCTGACCTTCTGTCACTTCATATACAAACAAGCGTCATTGCTTTGTCTGCCGGTTCACATCAGAAAAACAGTGACAGCTGTTTAGGCAACACTGGCAGCAAATGTACACACTCGCAGTAGGCTTCTTGTCATTTTTAATCAAGTGCCAGGGGTGGTGAACACGATGGTTCTTATCCCTGAACCATCTCCATAGAGTCAATTAATGATAAATGTTTCCTCCAATGTGCATGCAAGGTTGATGAAAAGGAATCATGTTGTGTCCTACCAACAACCAGGGCCTAGGTGTCCATTAGAAAACAAAGCTCAAAGAGTCGTACCATTTCACTTCACAACTGCTGCCAATATAGATCCTATTGGACGATATTTCACAAAAACATTCTGTTGCTATGGATATTACTTACTGCCATTAATTACTGTCATTTTCAACCTTTCCAACAATTTATGTGACTGACAAAAATTATTTAATGCCCAAAACAATTAAAATTCACAAAATAATTCTAATGCTGTCGCTATTTTGGGCCACAGTAGGATTCAAGTAATTAAAGTGCTACTTTCCTTAACGCCTTTTACGTTTTTATGAAATGCCAAAATCAACCTATGGTATTAGCTTCCCCAAAAAGCCAAGCTCACAACTCGTGCTAAGGCCAGCTATTCAGTAAATGCACAATATCCATACACGTCACGCACATCATACAGTCTATAAAATCACAATCCATAAATGCTGTTTATGAGACGTGAATAAGTGAATAACACGCCATGTATTTCACACTGAGTCACAGTGCCTCCACATTTCAGAATCAAATGATGAGTTTTCCTCTTCTCAGAGGCCACTAAAACCTACCCCCTCTCAACTCCAATAATCCCATGATCATTAAACTGTCAAAAACATATTTACACACACGTCACTACATCACAGCTGTGGCCTTGTACCTTCAGAAGATTCAACTTGTCACCCTCTTCCTGAACCTATTCCCACCGAGAATCCCCCCCCCCTTCAGCAGCAGCACTCCTACACCAACTGTCACCCCTCCTATATGCATAGCCTACCCCCACTGTCACCCCTCCATCCCCAAATTCCTCACACTGTCACCCCCTCCATCGCTGACTTCCTCAACCTACACCTTCCGTCAAGCTTCTATTTCCTTCTACAACAGACCTATTCTGTCACCCTGCCCACTGACCACCTCTACCCCTCCCTCAAGGAAGTAAATTCATATTTTCCCAACATGCAAAGCATGGGTATTCCTAAAACAATAACAAATATCCCTAAATTTCAACCATGAAGCAACATCCCATGGAATGAAGTCATATATATCTGACTAATACTGGTGTTGCAGGCTGTGACATACCAACAAATATAACAAATCTAGTGGTCAGTTTTTCAAATTTATAAAAGTGTTTTTTGTTTCAAGCGTAATGATGTCTATGGCTTCCTTCTTCTCAGATTCTGATCTTGCCATTCTCATAAAATTGAAACACATGTTGTAATAAAAAAACGATATTCATCTTTCATCTTGTTCATTGAAACTGATCTATCTGTGTTCTGATATCTACCAGTTTCAATTTCAAGTTTATGAGCACATAAGGCAGGCCTACCAAAGAAAACTTTCACACTGTGCAGAAAAACGCAAGAAAAGTCCACATTAATCGTGGAAATAGCAACATAATACCTCGCAAATGAAACAGTAAAAACGGCAACAAAACTGCAACATTTTTACATCAGCGAAGTTTGACCTCTACTGCGCGTGCGCATTGCGATCCTTCTTTCAAATTTCCGAGCAATAATTGCTGTCAATCATTTCATGCAAATGGAAAGTAAACAAAACAAGTGTGCACACAAGTATGATGATGATAAATGCCAAATAACACAACAGAAATACTTGAAAGGGAATGTAACTTTTGTCCAAGCTGGAAAATATCAACATGCGGTTAAGATGTCAACATGCGGTTAAGACTTCCTCTTCCATGTGCACGTTGCAGGTTCCTCGTTATTTTCATCCAGTTTGAGCAATTTAAAAGTTGCAGTTTTTACTGTTTCAGTAGCGAGGTATTATGTTTCTGTTGCTATTTCCATGATTAATGTGGACTTTTCAGCGTTTTTCTGCACAGTGGGAAAGTTTTCTTTGGTAGGCCTGTACAGACTGCTCATTTTCACAAAGGAACTCCCAACGCACTGAGTTGCACAGTGAACTGAAGACCTCGAAACAAGAATCCCTAACCATGTCATGATCAAGCACCACCTAAATACACCATGAACTTTGAACCTTATAAGTTCACTTTCTTTCAACCTCCTATCTCTACACATAATCTCAATGCAGACATGCTCCATCTCCAAGGATGCAATAAAAACTGTGCTTGGTAGGAACTACTTCCTTAGCCTTGATAGGGAGAGTGTACAAGATAATCACTCTATCTTACAAACATGATTTAAGCCCTCTTGAAGAGGCTTGTCTGATACTTGGGGTTGTGGAAAGATTAGCCCGAGATAACATTTCAAGTGTATATTTGGAGATACAGTCATAATAATATTGAAGTGTAATACATCACTTGCAAACAACTAGTTTCATACAAGGACTGAATGCATTTTCCGTTTGACAAATCGCACCTTAGCCAAACTGAATTGGTTCACTGTTGTTTGGGGGAGCTAATATTATGTCACATAAATCTTTCTTAAAAATATACATCTGACCATAATTCCAAAGTGGCCTTGAACAATGCTTAGTAAAGGAGCCGTCTATATAGACTTGCCAAATCACTCTAGATTTGAATTTCCTCGTGTTTAGATACCAATCAGGTCTATCAGACACCTTGAACTGTGGTTTCCTGCATATATCATGTCAAATACCAACCAGACAGACGTCATTGCAACAACTTAGCATGATTTACAAACAGTCACAACTGTCTATTATGGCAATTGTGGTATTCATAAACCTAGTTCCTTTACGTGTTCCTTTTCAATCCTGAGAAAATATTTCTCCCAAATCTATCAACATCAACCAATCTTTTAACAATAAAGTATCAGTTGATCATCTTCGTCAGCTCCTTGCAGTGCACTTGTCATCAGCTTCCTAAATTTGAAGACGTAAAAAGTGAATTAGATTAGCGAGATGTGAATATTAGTTGATATTTCCCCCATGTCGTGACCCAGGTCAGGTTTTACACCAGATCATTAACTATTGATTTCCAACACCATATGCAAATTTCATTTCAT